AGGTTAGGAATGTAGGTGCCCCAATGAGAGGTAGAGTGTTTCACTGAACAATTTGCAAACCCAATCCTTAAGCTTTGTCTTTATCTGTTCCACCCACAGTATCCTAATGCTGATTTGGCAGTTCTGTCAGATATGAGCCTTGTTGCCTTCTCATATGACTGTAGGTATATTTGCTAGGGACACTGTCAGTGACTATGCACGGTGGAATTAGTGTTAACTCTTATTAAGAAAGCTCAAAAACACATCGGTGTTTTTTCAGCAAGAAAATATTTAGATCGCTGAAATGTCTCTGCCTCTCTGGATGTCTGTCAATTTCAGAATACAGGCCCATGTTTTAGAAATAAGACCTTTTTATTCCTTTTTTTAGTTTATCTCTTTTCTAATTTAAAAATAACGTGTGCCTACTGTTAGAAATAAACCCATAAATATTGTAATTCCACATTATTTCACAATCATGTTCCTTGTTTTACATTGATGAGTTTGTTTTAGTAGCGAATCTCAAATTGTTAGAATCAGAAGGTCAGTGAGGTAAAATTAAGACAAGTACTTTAGAAGATTGTAAACACAGAATGAATTTCAGTTTCATGTAAATGGGGTGTGATTTCCATAATAAAGCCATTATTGTTGTCACTGGTGCATAGCAATAAAGCCAACGCAGCAATTACAAAGAAAACAGATAATACAGCACTAAACTTTCTTTAAAATAGCAGTTAAATTCATGGAAATGATATTTTCCACTAAAAAATAAAGAGATTTGGTGTATTCACAATAGAATCTAACTCCCATGAGTAGACTTTCTTAATGATACTAGTACTAACTGCTGTATCAATTTGATGTTTTTTTTCCTTTCCACAAGTAATTTCTTTCACTAAAACCTTTTCAAACTACTTTGTTTTTCACATTAGTGACTCCTTATTAATTTAATCATGTAAATTAAGTACTTCGATTTGATTTTTTTTTTCCTCCCTATAGTGGAACTTCATCTTGACGCAAGCCCGACTGACTTAGCAATCTCTTTTTTTTTCTTAATTGTAGTAAAATAGACATAACATAAAATTTAACATTCTAACCCTTTTAAGTGTACAATTCAATATCGTTAAGTACATTCACAACGTACAACTATCACCACTGTCAATATTTCCAGAATTTTTTCCTCATCCCAAACAGAAACTCTATATCTATTAAACAATAATTCGCTATTCTCTCTTCTCAGACCTTGGTACCTTCTGTTCTGCTTTCTGTCTCTATGAATTTGACTATTCTAGGCACTATTCTAGTGGAATTATACAATGTTTGTGCTTTTCGTGTCTGACTTATTTCATTTAACAATGTTTTCAAAGGCCATCTATGTTGGCACTTATATCAGAATTTCATTCTTTTTTAAGCCTGAGTGTCTCAGTCCATTCAGGCTGCCATAACAAAATACCCCAGACTGGCTAGCTTATAAACTATAGGGATTTATTTCTCACAGTTATGGAGGCCGAGAAGTTCAAGATCAAGGTGCCAGCAGATTCGGTGTGTGGCGGAAGGCCCCGCTTTCTGGTTCGTAGATGATACCTTCTCACTGTGTCCTCAGATAGTGGAAGGAGCAAGGCAGCTCTCTGGGGCCTCTTGTATAAGGTCGCTAAGCCATTCATGAGGGCTTTGCTTTCATGACCTGTTTTCCACAGCAGCTGTGCCATTTTCCATCCCCACCAGCAATGTACAAGGGTTCTGATTTCTCCACATCCTCACCGGCATTTACTATTTCCTGTCTTTTTGATAATAGCCATTCTAATGGGTATGAAGTAGTATCTCTCCTTGTGGTTTTGATCTTCATTTCCCTGATGACCAATGATGTTGAGCATCTTTTCATGTGCTTATTGGCCATCTGTATATCTTTTATAGAAAAATGCCTTTCCAAGTCCTTTGCCCATCTTTGAACCACATTGTTTGGATTTTTTGTTGTTGAGTTGTAAGAATTCTTTATTTATTCTGGACAGCACAGTCCAGAATAAATAAAGATACCCTATTCGTTAGGCCTAATACTGTGAGAACTTTGAATTGACTCTGTGTTATGTTAACTAATTCACCCCAAACATAAGTCATTTCCAACATTACCAATTATAAATGCCTTCTTTAGTCAATATTGAATTATAGACAACAGAGAAGTTAGTAGTAGTTCACCAAATGTGAAATGACTGCTTAGGAAATATAAAAGTAACGTGATTTTCATTAAACGAACATTGATTTGTGATTTGCCAAATGATATTCATAGTAGCTGTTTAACAACGGCACGTCCCCCAGAACCAACTCTCATCATCATCATCCTCCCCTTCTCCTTTTACTCAGGACCCAAAAGGGGTGAAAGGTGCCTCCTCAGAGGTAAATTGGCCATAAAGCTGATGAAACATAAGTTTCAGGGCCTCTCACCTGCATAGCCCCTTCCAAGATCCTAGACCTGATTATGGTTTTGCCATCTTGGTTTTGTAAAGAAGCCTCTCCAAGTTTTATAAGCTTCAGGCCCATAAAATCCGGATGTGCCTCTGGATGTGTTTCTTCCATCTGAAATCATGTCTTAATCTTTGCACTGCTGGAAAACCAGCCTGGGATCTATTGTTAAGTACACTTTTTATTTATGACGAGTTTTTTTCCTTGCAGAGTTTCTGGTCCGGGGTGCCAAGCTACCACACTTTTCTGCATAATTCCAGAAAAAACATGGGCCATGGGTGTTTCTAGTCAGCCCTGGTATGCTCCCTTGGCTTCTCCATTAAGCTCTGTCCACACAGCACTTGCTTTGCTCTAGGCACTTAGAGGAACACGCAGGCCAAGTTTTGAAAATTCGGTTCCTGGTTATTCATAGGAAATGTGCAGGTCCCTTTGTACTCTGCACAGAGCCATAAATAGAATTTTGTTCTTACGCAGTAGAAGCAAAGAATGCAATTGCCAGAGTTGATACCTAATCTTTGAAAAAATTTTGAACATAGCTTAGGCAGGTTCCTAAATATTAGGGTATCTTGTCAGAAGTAAAAATTAGCCTCTGGGCCCTTTATCTAATTTTATGATTCCATTAAACAAAAATAAAATTTTATAACAACTAAATTTTAATTTAAAGTTTAATTTATAAACTTTAAACCTTTTCTTATATTATTTATAAGATTATTATTTCTTATATTATTATTATTTTCCCCATGTGGTTATAACAACAAGTCAGGCAATTTGTATATATTGCGATGAAGGGTATATCTGACTAGAATATCAACACAATCCCCTTCTGAAGTTTTCTTTCTTGTCAAAAAATGTCCAGGTTCCCAGTTTCCCTTCCCCTCTGTCCTTCTTCCTCTTTCCTTTCTCTTTTTCTTTTCCTTTCTCTTCCCAAACAATTCCATCCTAAAGCCATTATTTGGTGTAGAGCAATGGTAGGCTACCACAGGAAGGTGGCCAAGCATGCGGGTGTCTGACCCCAGGCACTGTGAGGAGCCGGCTGCAGCCCAGCACGAGGTGTCAGAGCTGAGTGGATTTGGGAGGCCACCTGGGTGAGGGGAGGGATGACAGCAATGGGATGTGATTACATAGGTAAGTACATTAGGAATAATGAGAAATAGATTTCTCGCCAACAGAGAAGGGTTACACATATAGAAAGGGAGAAAACTAGAATGGACCCTGTGGTGTTTGGGTAGAATTAGAAGTATTGGTATGAACCAATGACATTCATTATATAGAGAAAGATATACAGAAAAATAGATGTAAGTGTGTTTGTGTGTGCACAAACATTTATATTTTGTACTCTACCTATTGGGAGAGCTTAGGAGCAGCAACAGCAATGCCCATACCTAGCCCCAGGTCTGCTTTCTAAATACCACTCTGCTCTAAAAGAAACCAGAACTGGGGCAAGGGAAGTTTGAAACATCTTGAGCTGAAAAGCAAGCAAGTGCTAACAGAGTGATGAGGACATAACAAAAGGCACAGAAACCATCTTGAAGGGGCTCCCACTAGGGACAATTTGAGCATCAAAATAAAAAATGATAAGAATGGATAATAACCCACTAGACAAAATAGGAATATATAAGTCCATTTTATAAAAGGAAACAAATGGATAAATCAAATACTTGATAAAGAAAAAAAAATTTTACATAGTTACATAGTTTCAAAATAATGCCACGCAAGATACTTAATAATTACAAAAGGAAAAAGGCTAACTTTACAAGGAGGATCTGTGCAGCTCTCTACTATCTTAATCAAGTGACCAAACCGAGCATCTTCACTAATGGGACAAGTTGAATTCTATCCTCATGTCTTTCAACAGCTTGAAAATGTGTTTATTTGTGGCTGTGAAGACCTGATTCACTGTCTAAATCTTATATAATTTGTTATTTAAATATTAAAATTCTTTCTATAAGGTTATTATTCTGAAACCCGAATAACAAAGAAAATTCAAAATAGACAAGCAAAAAGGGTAATGAAGTCCCTTGATCCTAAGGAAACCTGTTGAAACAAATCGCATGAGAACATTATGGGTAGAATAAGCTAAGTTGATCGAAGTCAGTCACTCACTTCCTCTTTGCTCTTTAACCTTAGCAATAAATTTTGGTGTCGTCTTGGTCAGAAAAGGGAGGTGAGTGCATGTTTTTCCATCACACACAAATTTATATAATTTCTATTTTTAAGTGCCTGGTCAAAAGACGCTAATTTCTGGAGCACACTGCTGCCTACCATTTTCTCAAGATTTATACAACTGCATAGTTGTTTGTAGTACTTTCTGAACAGTCCAGCAGGTGGCAGTCTAGGAGAGGAACAGTTCTCATCCGTCCCCATCCCAGGCCTACCAGCAGCTCCATTTGCAAAACAGAAAGAATATGGACTCAGCAATGTGCCTTCTCTGGCATAAGAATGTGATTTCCAAGGTTGTTCTCTCAAAATGAGTACTGAGGCATATAGAGTATCACAGAAAGGACCCAAAAATAATTTGTGACTATGCAGTATTCTGAAGCTCAAAATTTCTTTTCTTTTTTAATTTCTAGAAATTCCACTGATTTTATATCTCTTTGCCCTGATTTCTATGACATGGCTTTGGGGAGGACTGCACATGGCATACAGACACTTCTGGATGTTGGTTCTCTTTGTCATTTTCAACAGTCTGCAGGTAAGCCTTACAGTTTGGTTGTGACAATGCACATTTATCTTAATGAATACAAAGCACAGAGTTTCAAAATTAAAGATTCAAGCATCCAGACACAGGTGCATTCGTGCACAAAATAATATCATATCATGAAGAGTTGTAAAATAAATGACAGGGGCTAAGTCTTTAACACTTGAAGTATGACTGAGATTCTAACTTGCTCATCATCCAGATAGGGAAGACAAAATATTTACTCACCTTCAATTTGACAACAAATATCCAAGCAACTACAAAACCATAATTTTTTTCAGCAGGATTGATGTTTACAAAATTTGCAGAAAGCAGACATGTGGGATCTATGCACATATTTGAGCCATGTCTGTATCTAGAAATGAGATCAATTGAGGAGTGAAATAGATATCAATGTTCAAGCAATCCCCTCTTAAGCCCGATGCTTAGTGAAATGAGAGTGTTTGGTTCACTGAAAATGATTGACATCTCCCAAGTCCAGCAGTGCCCAGCTTAAATTAGTTTTGTGAGCATGGTTGGAAAGCATAACTAGAAATTATATAACTGTAGCAAAAATTAAAGCTGACTTTTTTGGTGCTTTTGTTAAATGGAAAAACATTGCACCCTGAAATTAACAAATGGAACAAATGAACACATTTTCCTTATTTTCAAAGTGAAAAGATCTGCCCTAGACTAAAATAATTTCTGAAATTTGCCAAAAGTATCGATAGGTAGTCCTTATTTTGGCTATCATCTTGCAAGGAGCATGTGTATAAAACATACACATGTGTGTATATCTATTAATACATACATACATATATTTAGGATTGTAGCATACAATTGAAGTATGACTCACAGCATTTTTAAGTTTACATTCAGAACTTCAGTCTTCAACCCGTGAGCCACAGTCAGATACCAGGCTGTGGCCTGTTGGGAACCGGGCCACACAGCAGGAGGTGAGCGAAGCTTGGTCTCTATTTACAGCCACTCCCCATCACTCCAGTCACTGCAGAATCATCCCAAAGCTATCCGCCTTCCCCCCATCCATGGTGGAAAAATTGTCTTCCGTGAAACCAGTCCCTGGTGCCAAAAAGGTTGGAGACTGCTGCTTTAGAAGATATTCTTTAGTTAGATCATAGCTTACATGATGATGCCTAATCAAAGCATATTACCAATTTAGGAAGGGAAAAATACAAAATAACTAGAAGTTTGGAATCAAGTTGATACAAATTGATATATAGACATCTCTCTGTGGATATGGTTATAATCGAGCACCTACTGGCAGTATGCTATCACTGCCAATACCAGAATGAAGAAGATAGCCCTGCCCCTCCAGAATCTGATGTTTTAAGGAGAAATTAACTCTAAGAATATACTATGGCAGGTGCCATATAAACAAAGCATTATAAGAGTGAGTAAGGGCCTGTTTACTCGTTCATTTGAGCTGAGCCCAGCATTTGAGCTGAGCCCAAAGGTGAGCCATCCGGTCACAGGCCCCATCTTGGTCACCTTTGGATCCCTGAGGCCTTAGTGGAACTAAGATCAAGGTCCAGACTGACAGCCTACAAGTGTATTTTATTTGGCAGACACACAGTGTCACACACAAAAGAGTGTTTTAGATTTCCAAATATTTGCTGCAGACTTTTAAAATTGAAAAAGTTCACATTAAAAACCTGAATTTCTGACTTTTCTTTGAAGGCAATACTTGCATGGCAACAATTTTCAAGCCTCGAGCAGACCGGATATGCTTAGTTCATTCATTTTACCTGCCCCTGAGTTTGTGACCTTCCATGTTTATTAAATAAATGATGAGTGTATGGTTACAGATGGGTATTTCATGCAGAGATGGGTATTTCAGTTAGCCAAGGCTGCAAAAAGGGAAAGTGATTGACCTTGCCTAGATTAAGCAAAGGGTTGGGAGGGAAGGAGAAAGGTTTTGCAATTAGAAAAGAAGTGGTGAGAGAGGAGATGGAGAGGGTAGTTTGGCTTAAATGCCAACTTTCCATGCTCAGAATGCTAAACTTCAGCTTTTAAGCAATGGCAAGCCATCAAAGTTGTGTTTCTTGTTTGTTTTGCTCTGATTTGTTTTTTAAAATTTTGTCAATTTTTAATTTTTTTTATCTTGAACGAGGATGACCTGCTTGTATCTACTCTCTAGAAGAATAACTGGAAATGTTTAGGAGGGGATATTGAGGAAAAAAAAAAAGAAAGAAAGAGCAACTTCTGGGAGGATAGTCTATTGTCATATTCTGGACTGTAGGTGGCAGTGTGCCTGGAAATAAAGAGTAGGTGACAGGTTTGATAGTTGTTATAGAGATAAATATTTATCTTATTTGTTTTAATTGACACATATTTGTGGGATACACAGTAATGTTTTGATACACATATTGTGTAGTGATCTGATCAAGGTAATTAGCATATCCATCATCTCAAACATTTATCATTTCTTTATATTGGGAACATTCAGTATTTTCCTCCCATCTATTTGAAACTCCGTAATATATTATTGTTAGCTATAGTCATCCTATAGTACACTAGAACTTATTCTTTCTAGCTATACTTTTGTATCCTTTAACAAATCTTTCCCTATCCACCCTTCCCCCTAACCTTCCCAGCCTCTATTATCTTCTGTTCTACTTTTTACTTGTGTGAGATGAATTGTTTTTTTTAAATTTTCATGCACAAGTGAGCACATATAGTGTTTAACTTTCTGTTCCTTGTTTATATCACTTAACATAATGTCCTCCAGTTCCACCCATGTTGTCATGAATGACAGGATTTTATTCTTTTTTATGGCTGAATAGTATTCCATTGTGTATATACCATATTTCCTTTACCCATTCATCTGTTGTTGGAAACCTGTGTTGATTCCATGTGTTGGCTATTGTCAACACAATAGCCAACACAGTAGCACAATAGTGCTGCAATAAACAGGGGTGCAGATGTCTCCTCGATAGACTGATTTTCCTTCCTGTGGATAAATGCCCAGTAGCAGAATTGCTAGATCACATGGTAGTTCTATTTGTAGTTTTTTCTGTGCATGCTTGCCAGCATTTGCCTTGTAGTTTTGATAAAAGGCATCCTAACTAGGGTGAGATGATAGCTCCTTGGGGGTTTGATTTGCATTTCCTTGATGATTAGTGATAGGGAGCATTTTTAAAATATTTTTTTGGCCATTTGTATATCTTGTTTTGAGAAATGTCTGTTGAGATCATTTGTCCATTTTTTTAATCAAATTATTTTTTGCTGTTGAGATATTTGAGTTTCTTGTATATTGTGAATTTTAATCCCCTGTTGGATGAATAGTTTGCAAATATTTTCTCCCATTCTGCAGGTTGTCCTTTTCTCCCATTCTGTAGATTGTCGTTTTCTCTCTGTTGATTGTTTCCCTTGCTATGTAGAAGCTTTTTAGTTTCACATAATCCCATTTGTTTATTTTTCCTTTTGTTGCCTATGCTTTTGAGGTCTTATTCATAAAATATTTTCTTAGACCAATGTCCTGAAGCATCTCAATGTTTTCTTAGTTTTACAGTTTGGAGTCTTTCATTTAGGTCTTTGATCCATTTTGAGTTGATTTGTGTATAGGTAAGAGGCGGGGATCTGGTTTTATTCTTCTGCTTATGGATATCCAGATTTCCTAGCACCATTTATTGAAGAGATTACCCTTTTTCCAATGAGTGTTCTTGGTGCCTTTGTCAAAAATCATTTGGCTGCAGATATATGGATTAATTTCTGGGTCCTCTGTTCTGTTCCACTCATCTGTGTTTCTGTTTTTATGCCAGTCACATGCTGTTTTGTGGTACTATTATACTACTATAGCTTTGCAGTATATTTTGAGGGCTGGAAGTATGTACTTTCAGCTTTGTTCTTTTCTTTCTTATTTTTTTGTTTTCCTTGAGACAGAGTCTCCTATGTTGCCCAGGCTGTTCTCAAACTCCTAGGCTCAAGTGATCCTCCCACCTCAGCCTTCCAAGTAGCTGGGACTGTAGGCATATGCCTGGCTCCCAGCGTTGTTCTTTTTGCTCAGGATTGCTTTAGCTATTCAAGGTCTTTTATGATTCCATACAAATTTTAGGATTTTATTTTCCATTTCTATGAAAAACATCATTGATATTTTGATAGGAATTGCTTTGAACCTGTAGATTGTTTTGGGTAGTATTGTCATTTTAATAGTATTGAATTTTTCTTTCCATTAGCATGAGATTAATATTAATGAAGTTTGGTTAGCCAATTAAATGTAGGAATGTAGAGTGCAAGAGAGGAACATCACTTAGAAATTTCTGGCTTGAGTGAATGGCTGGGCCCTGATAACTTTAGTCAAAATAGAGGTCACATAAACAGCAAGGTCTTAATATGCAATGAAGTTGGTGAGATTTGGAAGACATTGGTAAATACTGCATACCAATGTTTTAGTAACTGGATATAGGGACAGGGCTAGTGAAAGAGATTATTAACCAGTGATCAGAGAGCTAGGAAGACAGCCAGGATAGTGTTAGCAGTTGCCATGTAGAAAAGAAAGCTTCCAAAGGAAGCAATGCCTAACTCTGTCAAGTGTACCAGATTCATTAAATAGGATGAGAACTGAGGAGCAATGAGGTCTAATGCAGCAGTTCCCAAACCGTAGGGTACATAAGAATTCCGTAGAGGGCTTGTTAAAACAGAGATTGTTAGGCCCCACCCCCAGAATTTCTGATACAGCAAGTCTGGGTGGAATCTGATCATTTTCATTTCTAACAAGTTTCCAGGTAATGCAGATTTAGCTGGTATAGCGACCACAGTTTGAGAAAAAAGAAGTGAGATGGAGAATGCAAAGAGAAAGAAGGAAAGAGCTTAGGAAGGGAGGTTGATTGGTTCAAAGGAGATATTTTTTGCTTTTGTTTTCTTTACTTGTGACAAGAACCAACAAAGGAGAAACTGACAACTGGAGGAAAGAGTCATTGTCGTGGCAAGATCATGGAAGAGGCAGGAAAAACAGAAGAGATAAGGGCTTTACTGAAGGAAGAGTAGAGATGTTT